ACCACTTCAAAACTATTTGTGCATTGATTTGTTGCTGTGGAAACAAGATAGTGCCCTAAAGTGAAGAGGCAGCACAGTGCCTTTGTGAGCTTATGTTTGCCCAGTGTCAAGGTTAGTTACATGTCCTGGAGGTGACTGTCAGTTTACCACAGGTGCAGAGTGTTCAACACATGTGACATTGCTGATAGCTGAATTGTATTAGTATGTTATGCAAGGATTACATATAAAGTTACATCAACATTTAAATTATAATTGCAAGTTACGTAATTATAACACCAAAACAACCCTATGTCAGGACTATAAATTTTAACTCCAGAGCATATTCTATCACATTTTATATAAATAGCACGGTCTTTTAAAATTTATAAATTAAAATTAAACAAAGAGTGTAGTAATTTCTTATCAGCCATGCATTTGTATTTGTATGGGAAGAAGGCATGCCTTATGACTTTCTAATGGGTAAATTAATAAAATTACTTTAACATTTCATTGAAACATTTTCCCTATTTTGGTTTATTTTATGTAACAGTAGAAAATGTCTAGCTAAAGTAGTGATTGGCATTCAATCTAAATTTCCAAAACTCAGATGTGTCCACCTGAGTTTTATCCCCTACCTTTGTTTATGCTCACGAATTGGCAACCAGCTCACATAACTCTTGCTGGTCTGGTAGTTTTCAACTATCAATGAGACATATGTAATTGTGAATCAAATTGCAGACTGTACAGAAGAACCATTTTTGAAATAATGCAGCTGAAAATACTGGGTTCCTAACCCCTCTACTGGGATTGAGACTTATCCTACTGATGATATAAACTGACTCACATTTTGAGTTTTAGACCAGTAATTCCTATGTCTCAGTCACTTGAGACATAGGAATAGTTCAAATCAAGCTCTCACCCACCCCCAAATATTTATTTTTATCTTATCACTCCCCTCTTTTGCATACCAGGTGAAGGATAAATAAAATATTTTCATCACAAAAGCACAGCACATTTTAATGTTTGCCTCATATGAACATGCTAATATGAAAGATTTATATATCATGCAGCATTTTTTTCATTTAAAAATTGATCTCGTACTTTTTATAGAAATTATTCATTCCCTTCTAAAAGTTTATAAAGCATTTTTAAAAACTTATTCAAGTAAATGGATCATCTGACCAATACAATGACTGCAGCAGTATATAAAACAAACATGATCGTAAGAGCATTGCTAAACATTCATGCGATTTTACCGTTGTCTCATTTTACCTTCTCTTCCAGAGCAGCCATTCTTTCCTTTAAGTGTAACTGTAGGCGTTCATTGGATTCAGTCAGAAGTCTATCAACAGTATCGGATAATCTCTTGTTATGCTCCTCATTCATTTTCTCTCTTTGCCTAGCCTTACATTCAAGAAACCAAAATAAATTTGACATGAAAAACCATTGAAAAACTGTGATTGTTTTTATAGTTTTGATAGCTTTATTAATAAATATGATTTACTTTTATGTTTGTTTTGATTAAATTTGTGGAAACTTTTTTTTCCTTCAAAATCCATATCCATAGATTTTAAATATAGCCTAATCAATAAAGACTTTTTTCTTATACATAGAACATAAATTCATAAAATGGTGATTGGGGGGAGTGATTCTTAATATACATACTCTTTGAAGTTCCTGATTTTTCTCTTCAAGCTGACCTTCTAGATGTCTCATACGTTCTTCAATATTTCCATGTCTCTCTTCAGCCTGTTAAGAAATATGAAGAATGCACCTGAAATGTAAGATTTGGCTAACTCTTTTCCTCTAAATAAATTGAAATAAAATGTAAAGCAAGCTACTACCAACTGCAAACATAGTTTTCAAAAAATAAACTTTCTTTAAACAGGCAGCTGAACAGCATTGCTTGAAATGTGTCAGCTACAAAGGCCTGTTACATCCAAGCATCAGCAAAACATTGGAGTTATTTATGAGCAATGAATTCAGCCAAATGTAACATGCAGACTGTGCATGGTTTGAACACAAACCTGCCATTGTCCAATCTTAAGCTCCTGAAGCACTGAACTGCACAGATGGTCGATTATCAATAAATAAAAGTAACATAATTTTTATAAATGAAAAGAAAAACTTAGATGGATTCTATTTAGCAATAGAAAGTAAAGTCCAGTAGGACTACCTTCCTACGTATGGAGATCATTTCTTGTAGTTTAGCTTCCATAACATATTGATAATCATCAGATGAGGTAGAAGAGGTTGGATCAGACTAACAAGTCAAGGAAAAGGAGAGGGACAAATTGAAAAATCAGAACTAAAGACACCGACACTGAACAGAACATAGCACAGAATGCTTAAAAGAAAAGTGTGACAGCAAATTTAATATTTTAATAGACAGAATTTTATGTGGAAAGAACTATACTGATATCTGGTGAACATGATGCAGTGGATGGTTATAAATGAAAAACAATATTATGCTAAAATAAAAAGCTATCAACCTAAGGTATGAAAGGTTAGTGATGGTTGGCGATGAAAGACTACTACAGAATGAATTAAAGCAATTCTGAAAGAGTCGTGTGATAATTGGAATTATGGGAAACCAAACACTAGAATATGTCTCTGATAGATTGTTAAAAGTTTGTATTTTGGTTTGTTTGTTTGTTTATATTACTTAAAATAATGGAAACAATGTATTAATGTTGAGAAGTATGCTAGGCAATGACTCGGGTGTAATAAATTTGGAACAAAATTTATTATAAGCCCTCTTCTATAGAAATCAGAGAACAAACTAAGCCACAGGGTTAATTACTATGAGTGTTCCCCAATTTAAGCAAGATTGAGTTTCCTCAGCAACACCAGAAAACTTAGGAAATGACATCTGGTCTCTGAATGTCCATTTATGGTCATTGCTCATTAGTCAAATGGCCCAGTCTCAGATATGGGTTTAATTTGAAATTTTAAATGAAAATTAAAATCTGAGGATTAAAAATCCTCAGATTATCAAGGCGA